TGATCAAACAAAAGTTGGGCTTTGTGACGCAACACTCCTAGTTTGTTTCTTGTACTAGGCCCCGAAATACCTTGATAGCAAAGTGTGTCTTAGGAGATAACCCATGTAATTCAGCAACTTTATTAGCAATGATTGAACAAAAAATTATGACTTACCTGAGTGATGTGTGGTGTTGGAGCTAAAAGTCCACTAGTTTGGCGCGATATAGATATCGTTGATGGTTGCTGTTTTTGAAGTGTCTAATTAGGTCTATGATGGTTCGGTAATTTTGAAGGACAGATGAGGCTTATGGTAAAGATCAGAATGAAGGAAAGGCTAAGGCTCATGAATTAGGGTTTTTCAACAATGAGAGATCGCTTCCTCTGTTTGGTGCGTTCCCCTTTTTCTAAGCGTGTTGATGGCTTGAATTTATAGGCGCATGAGTTCCTCAAAATACCAGCTAGAGAATTCCTGGTTTTCTCTCCATCAAGCCTCTTTAGGTTAGTACTGTAGAGAGTTGGTAGCCTCGTGAAGGCTAGGTTGAACATTCTAGCCAGAACCCCTCCTTTTGGTACCGTTTGGTACGAAACGGAACGGGACGGGACGGAATGGGATGGGACAAAACAGAGGTTCCGTGTATGTTTGGTACGCGCAGAACGGAACATGACGGTTGTTCTGTGCCTGCAAAAAAATAGAAAAACCCAACCCAAATCAGACAAATAAGAAATCTTTTAGACCAATTTCGAACAAATCGTCGGAAAAAACCAAATGGGTACCTCTCGAATCGGCGATTTAACGATTAGGGATGAAGCTTCGGTTCTGAAAAGAGAGCGGGTTACCAAGTCCGCCACCCATATCTCTCCGTGTCTCTTCCCTTTCTCTTCCCCGAGTTTAAAATACAGCTTTTTCAATAAATTAATCCCAAATATTTTACAACATAACAACAAATGGTAAAATGTATAACTTTTTCAAGTAAAGTTTCGTTCTTTTTGTTTCTTACAGCAATGAAATAGGGGGCAAAAGAGTAATTAAGTAGTGAGCTCGTGAGATGTTGTACCTTGCCATGGAAGTGGTGCTTGTTCTTGAAAACGGTGTTGTAGTAAGCGTCCATGTAGACTCGATCGGAGAGCATCTCTTTTTGGTGGTAGAGGAAGGCGTAGGTGTAGAAGTAGTTGGCAAAGTCGATGCCTCTGTCGACCGGGGCATCGCTAGGGTCGCCATTTTTGGTGCCGCTTTGGTCCCCGCCACGGCCATCGTTTCTGTAGCTCCCCATGTAGCTAGTGTAGGAAATGGTGTTGGCGGACTGGTAGTGATCAATCAAATGCTCTCTCACTCGGGGAAGAGAAAGGGAAGAGACACAGAGAGAGATGGGGGGCAGGGCTTTTGGTTCTTAAAATGTTATAATTTTGTGTTCAACGGATGTGGAACGAGTCGTTTCAAGGGATGAGGTGGAACAAAAATTCACTCAAAACTCGTTTCGTGGAACAACATGTTTCACCTGTTTTAGGCGCACTAAACGTGGGACGAAATGTCTCGTTCTACTCCGTTCTGTCCCGTCCCACGTACCAAATGGTACCTTTATGCATTAAAATCCCATAACAAAGCTACATCTATGCCTACACTCTTCTCCGTTTTCTCCTTTGGTTTCATACGTGAGCTAAAATGGTAAGGTTCTTCCAACACGTTAAAATACTGTGAACAACTTAAGATTAGACTCTATCAATGCAAGAATCTAGGCAAACTAGATTTTGAATCTGGTTGGATTTGAAGTATTTGAGTCGGTTTGTACGAAAAAAAGTAGGGAATCATCTCTCGTTGCCTTCCCACTTGAGATTAAAGTTGCAAGCTCGGATTTTGGTGCTACCAAGTAGCTTAAAATCTCCATAAGCTTTAATTCCACATAAGCCCAATAAACTTTCGCAACCGCCCACACCACAACCCACTCGACAAGCTTTGTTATATGGCTTGGGCCCACTTAAGCATGTCGGGTGAAGAGTAGCTTGGCATGATTCGAATTAACATGTTAATGTATTAATATTATTACTTTGTTTCGCTATAGCCTAACAAGATAATAACTTGGTTTGGTATGGGCTTAGCATAGATTTTTCGAATGTTCGAAATATATACTAGCGAAATACCCCAAAATGGGACAATTTCTTAATTTTGGGACAGAAATAGGACAAATCGACCATGCACACCATGCACAAAACCAAAATTATTAGAATACCCACATATAAATACTAAAAATCATCTGTCCATTGCATCACTGTTCTCATTTGGAAGAGAGGGATGTCAAGAAAGCTCTGTGAGCTCTGGGTTGAGCTCAGATCTCCGAGCTTCGATTTCAAAGAGAGTGAAGTCCAAAAAGAGGCAAGAAGCGTGAACTGGGTTTTGGGTTGACCTCATGCCTCTGATTTCGAACAAGGGGATGAGACAGATAGGTGAGAAGAATGAGCTGGATTTTGTACCATATTTTCTATTTTGGCCGAAAAGTTCCATTTTTCCGATGACTAAAGCATCGGCATGCGGTGTTTAGTTCCAAATTCCTTCATCAATGATTTATGGAACAAATGGGTTGTTTGTAAGATGAATTAATGCTTAGAAGTTAAATTAGGGTTGGTGTTTCATGTTGGGGTGTATGGGTTGTGGAATAAATTTCAAATTTTGACATGCTAGAAAACTGGGATGGAACTATTTTTGGTTCAAGTGTCCAATTGCAGAAATTTGTGAAAATTTTTCTGTGCATGGCTTCAACTTAATATAAGAAGCGGGAATGTTCACTAATTATGATGCACGTATGTTGTGCCTCGCAATTTAGCGAGTATGACCACAACCTAGTCGGCCGGCGAAAAAAAAAATTAAAAAACAAAATGCTTAGAGGACGTTTAGGGTCATGCGTGTCCATGAAATAACGACAATGTGTATCGTGATTTCCACGTGCATGGTTAAATGGTGGTTGATATACATAACAAGACTTTTCAAACTGTCACTGTAACCTTATATACGTAACAATTATGTTTTAATTGTATCCACTATACCAATATATTGCCGTTAAATTTTCTCCCGCTCTGTGTATATCATGTGCATATACTGTACATATTATGTGCATATAGTGTATTGGTGTGTATTTACGTCTTTGATACTCTTCACATTAATGTAGCTTACTACTTTTTCCTTTGATTCAAAGGTAGGCCATGCAAATACTAAAAAAGCGAACAAGTTCGTGAAACAATTTCCTTTGATTTAGTTGGGTTCTTTCATGCCCATTCAAATTCCAATTTTTCAAATCCTTGAAATATTTGAACCCAATCAAATTGATACCAAATTCAAATTAATGAATCTTTGATTCTTCATATAAAGTTTAAGGTCATTTATCTAATTGCGTTATTTTTCTGATTTCAAAGAGAGAGTTGTGAGTTATAGGTTTTTGGGTTGATCTTAGATCTATGAGCATAAGATGTGCATGTCGTGTACATACAATGTATAACGAGCTTAATATGAAGAAAGCGAATGAGTACGCAAAACAATTTCGTCCATCCTTCTCTCTTCCTTCTTTCCACTATGATTTCTCTTTTCTCTCAAATCTATCTTTCTCCAAAAGGCAATTGACCTTTAATACGTTTTTTTCATTTAATTGCAGCAAAAGTCAAACCCTATTTTCATTCTTGTAAATTTGGATCGAGAGAGGGAGCAGAGGGAGGGAGAAGATAGAAGAAATGAAAACCCATATAAATATAAATCAGAGAGATGATAAAAATAAAAAATAAAAATTGAAGGATTTGGGTCTCCTCCAAGAAACACCAAATCAATTACTTCAACTCCAAAAATCCATCAATCAAAAAGCAAACTTAAGCAAACCCAGTTCACAAAACCTATAAATAAAAAGGATAGCTCTTGTGAACATTCGAAATGTAGAGAGATAGCTCTTGTGCATACTTGAAATGCAGAGAATGGAGAGAGAGAGAGAGAGAAAGCTTGGATGAAGAAGATGGGTGGGTTAGAGAGAGAGCTCTTGGATGAAGAAGATCGGTGGGTTAGGGTTCTTCAAATTGGAACTGGGCAAGAGAGATTTTCTTTGTTTCTCTCTCTACAAAATGAGAAATGAAGGCTGAAATTTATGGATGACCCACTTATATGGGAGGACAATTTGGTCATTTCAAGGTGTAGGAAAAATCATATTTCTGTTTGATTGTTGTGCATGGTGTGTGCATGCCATGTGCATATCCGAAATGTCCTGCTTCTATCCCAAGATTAAGAAATTGTCCCATTTCGGGGTATTTCCCTATATAGGCTTTTTAGCCAAAATGGTCTTTGATATTTGCATAACTCATCACTTTGGTTTTTGAGATTTGAAATCAATAGAAGCAGTTTCTGAGTTTGTCCACCATCAATCACTTCGGTCATTCCATGAAAAATCTCCATTAAATAAGGCTAAAATGACAAAAACACCCTCAAATTTTGTCAAATCATTTGGCCCACTGTTTATTAATTTGAGGGTATTTTTATCATTTTGATCTTTATTTAATATATTTTTTCATGGAATGACCAAAATAATTGATGATGAACAAACTCAGGGACCACTTCTATTGATTTCAAATCTCAGAGACCAAAGCGATGAGTTATGCAAATCTCAATGACCATTTTGGCCAAAACACTCCCTATATATTGCCATATTTTTTTACGTGACATGATTGTGAATTTGCATACCTCTTGTTTTGCACTCTATGCATGAATTTAATTTTGGTTTGGTACGAATATATAATGATTGGGCTTTTGAATATACTTTGGCTTTAGTAAAGATATCTGCAAGTTGTTCTTTCACTTCTACAGAACTTCATATCAATCACTCATTCCTGTAATGTTTCCCTAATAAAATGATGCTCCCTATTTATCTGTCTAGTTTTATGGTGGAAGATAGGATTCTTCACCATAGAAATTGCAGATATGTTATCACATAACAAATGGGTTGTATCAATTTACATCTCCCCAAAATCATCAAGCACAAACCATAACCAAATAGACTAAGTTGTGGCCTTTACTGCAAAGACATACTCAGCTTCTACAGTTGATAAAACAGCTGTGTTTTGCTTCACAGGGGCCCAGGATAAGACACCACTTCCAAAACTGAAGGCATAGCCTGAGGTGCTTCTACTATCATCTTCACTACCTACCCAGTTAACATCATAAGATCCCATAAGTGTTGCTTCTTTGTCTTTTACATAATCAATCTCATAGCTTATTGTACTCTGCATATATCTCAAGACTCTCTTTACAACTCCAAAATGTTTCTTTATGGGACTATTCATGAACCTTGACAATAAACTGGCAGCATACATCAAATCTGGTATAGTTGCTGTCAAATACAAAAAGCTCCCTACAATCTTCATGTACATGCTTTCATCAACCAATTCAATTCCATCAACTTTCTTGAGTTTTTCTTCTGCAGACAATGGAATTGACACAGGTTTGCAGTCTGCAAGACCAAATTTCACCGGGAATGACTTTGCATACTTGCTTTGATGAATGAACACACCCTTATTAGTTTGCAGAATTCCCATTCCCAAGAAGTGAAGCACCCATAAGTCAAACATGTCATATTTCTGCATTATCTCTCTTTTAAATTCACTGGTGTATACAATATCATCCACATACAGTGGCACAATGATCAATCCATATTCTTCATTAAATCTTGTGTTTAGTGTAGCCTCACTAGTGCTTTTCTTGAACTTACAATTAATCGAGTACGTATCAATCTCACTGTACCAGGCTCTAGGAGCCTGTTTTAAGCCATATAATGCTTTCCTCAACTTGTAAACCTTGTGATAGCATTCTTCAATTCAAAACCTTCAGGTTGCTCAGTGTACACTTCCTTTTATAGAAAACCATTTAGGACTTGTGATTTTACAACTAATTGAACTAGCTTCCATCTTTTTTGTGTTGTAAGAGCAATGAGACTTCGAATTATGTCTAACCTTGCCACTAGGGCAAAGGTTTCATACCAAGCTTTTGTGCATAACCTTTTGCAACAAGCCTAGCCTTCTGCTTTTGGACAATTCCATCCAAATTGAGCTAGTTCTAAGCATCAAGTTTATTCCTTTGACAGGCTTATCAGCAGGTCTCTCTGCTAGCTGCTATATGAAATTTTTTTCTCAATCATTTCGATCTCAGTAGTCATAACTTCTTGCCAAGCTTGATCCTGTGCTGCCTCTTAATAGCTTTACGGTTCAACAATACACATGTGACACTAGGGGTGGGTTCGGTTCGAAACGGTTCGCTTTTTTGCCAAAACCGAAGTTGAACCAAAATTTCAGTTCAGTCCAATTTTTTTGGGTTTTTTTCGGTTTGGTTTTTTTTTTTGTCGTCTTCAACAAAAAAAAAAAAAGAAATCCTAAGAAAACAAAGCTTGCAGCCATTTAGACATCTTCCAGAGAAAACAAGCTTATTGCCGAGTGTAAATGTCAAAACCAAAGAGCTAAATCATCGGAAAATTAGGATACAACACACCTCTCCCAAAAATAGGACAAAAGTCACAGAGAGAATTTTAGCAACATACTTATTGAAAATTTTATGTAAATATATCGAAAGAGCCTGCAGATTGCAAGCATCAAAGTTAATAGCTACCATTGAATCTTCAAACTTTAAATGGTAAATGAGAACTTTCAATTGGATACACATTCTGCATTGAATAACATCAATATTCTTATACCAGATTCAATTTAATTTTGGCAAAACCAAATATAATATGAAAGAAAACGATTGACAACGAAAACCATTGCTATTCTTAAAATTAGAGTGCCACTCGCCTCCTTAGCAGCCGCATTACTTAGTAGCAAAGTGACGAGCAACTGATGCTGCTTCTAAACCACCGGAAATATAACAGATGAAAGAAAAAAAACCACACAAATTTCAAAAAAATTCAGTGAACTACGAGCGAGACGAAACAAAATTCAGGAATCAACGAGAAACGAGATGGAGGCGAACGAACCTGCTTGTTTCTTCTCAGTGAGGGAACCACTGCACTGCAGAATCTCGAGCTCGACGTGGCTTAGGGTTAGGCCGGACATTATACCGACGAAAATGATGAAGAAACAGGAGAGGCAGCATAAATGAACCACCAAGCAAATCCGAAGAGGATGGCGCCCAGAGAGTTTGAGAGAGTGAGAGACAGAGACTTTGATAAAGTGATTGAAGATCAAGAGAGAGAAAGAGGAGGCTCAGAGTGAATGAAGGATCGATGTTTAGCTTTAAGGTGTCAGACTGAAGTCACTGCACGACGTCGTCGACCAATACAAATACAAACTTTCAGAACGACATGCCGTTTCTATTACTAAATAAAAAATACGTCGTTTTTTACAACGTTTCAGTTTGGTTCAGTTTAGTTCGGTTTTTGAAACTCAGAAACCAACCAAACCAACCAGATTCGGTTCGGTTTGATTTTTTTCGGTTCGATTTTTTTGTTTGGTCCAATTTTTTCAGTTTCAGTTCGGTTTGGTTTTCGGTTTTTTGAACCCACCCCTATGTAACATCTTGCATATGTTTCATCCAAGCTTCTCAATTTCACTGATTTTGAACTAGTTGTTGAATCTTGACTTTGGCTTTCACTCCTACTAGTAGATGAATTGTCAGGACTTAAAATTGGTTGAGAGCTTTGAGTAGTTTCAACTTGAGTTTCATAAGTTGAGGTTTCCTGCATATCAATACCATACACATCATTTTCCAGACTAAGAGGTATTGAGAGTGTTTCAACCTGCTTGCATTCTTAATTCCAGGATTGATCCTTATTGAACACCACATTTTTGGTGAGGATAATTTTCTTAGATTGCAAGTTATATACCCATATAGCCTTTCTCGCATCTACCATATCCTATGAAAATGCCTTTGCTTGGCTTCTCATCAAATTGATGCCTTAACTGTGATGGAATGTGTGTGTAACACATGCATCCAAACACTTTCAAGTGATTTATACTAGGTATTCTACATATGAATGCTTCAAATGGAGTTTTGTCTTTCACTGCAATTGTAAAATACCTATTTTGCAAATATGTTGTAGTGTCAACTGCTTTAGCTCAAAACATCAAAGGAATCTTCTTCTCGGCCATTATTGACCTTGCCATTTCTCCATTGGTCCTATTTCTTCTCTCAGCAACTCCATTTTGTTGAGGTATATAGGCAACCGTTAATTGCCTCACCATTGATGCGAAAATTATGCGCACACAAATTAAACCCTCTTTTTGTCAATTGTAGCAAGTACGTAAGTAGGGATCGTTCTGGACCGGGGATTAGGAGGGATTGTTAATCTCTTGGAAACTGACTCAAAAACGTAAAAACAATATAAAATACTAAACTAGACTCAAAGAATGTGAAACTAAACGTTAAAACACTAAGACAAACCAAAAGACTCAAAATACTTTAAAAACACAAACTAAATTGATTTCTAACTAAATTGAACAATAAAGTAAAGGGGGATTGAGTTTTGGACGGAATTAAACTAAATGAACAAATTGCAATTAAAACAGAATGTAAATATGAAATTGATGAAATGGAATGAATGGATGCTAGCCAAGGGGTTCATCTCCACACATGTTACACTTGCATAATAAAAAGATTTCTAATTGCTTTTCAATAAACCATGAATTCTCAACGCTCCGGGTTAATTAGGTCCGCTTAAATTAACCGTCAAGTTTTCCTTAAGTTAATGAATTGGATGATTGCATACGACAACCCAAAGCATTCCTCACAAGTTCCCTACATGAATTGCATAATAGAGATACAAGCAAGAATCATTAAGCAACATGAAAACTATAAGTGTTGACGAGGCATTCGTTACTATGATTGCATGAAACTTATGCCAAGAATTTGTTTAACGCGATTGTTTATAAGCAACCTCCACTACTTGTGAATATAAGTTCATAACTATTATGTGAAACTCACTTATATTCTAGCGTCAAATTCATGCATGGAAATTAAGCGTTCATTCTTAATAAACATACATAAATAGGATATCAATCAAATAGTTAAACAAATTGAATTCACAACTTATGAAACATAATTAAAAGTAATCAAATCATATTGCAAGCCTAAACATATATTTCGAATCACCCCCTAGCTAAGGGGGGTTTAGTTCCTCATACGTACAAAACAAAGAGAATTGAAATTAAACATTGAAATCAAAGAAACGCCTAAACATTCCAACAACTCAAACTTGAATTGTATGAACGTTTAGGCCCTCTTCTCTTCCTCTTCGTTGTAGCATAAGGTCTAGGGATAGTTGGTTGGGGGGGATGGAAGTGTGGAATTATGGAAGTGGATGAGGAGTGGTGGAAATGGAAGAATGGTTTTGGATTCTAAGGGGAAGTGTTTATTTGTGGTGTGAGAATGGAGAGATGGAATTGAATGAAATGGAAGTGTGGGATGAATTGAATGCAAGGGTATTTATAGGAGGAGTGGAGATGTATATGGCTATTTGTTTAAGGTGTTTGTGGTGTTGTGAATGATGAAAGAATAAAGGGTGCATGTGGGGTGGAATTGAATGAATGCAAAGTGAATGAATAATGAAATGGGAAAGCATGACCAAGGTGGAAATGCATGTGATGGGTGGGAACAAAGGGGGAAACATGGCACAAGGGTGATGTTGTTGATGTGTGAATGCATGTGTTGAATTGGTGGTTCAATGATGAAAGAATAAGTGCATGTGTGTGTGAATGGTGGTAGCTAGGGTGAATTATGATAAATGCATGTGGAATAAAGATGGAGAAGGTGGTGAAATGATGAAGTAGGAAGGTGGAAATGCATGTGAGATGTTCTTTGGAGAAAGGTGGATGAATGTGCATGTGAATTAAGTTGTGAAAGCATGTGGAATGTTTTAAATGGTTGAAATGTGTAGATGATTATGAGTATGATAAGTGATAAGTGTATGGCTATGATAAGTGATAAATGAATGATATGTGGTGATAAATGAATGATATGATAAATGAATGATATGTTAAGTAATAAATGAATGATATGTGGTGAGTGATAAGTGAATGGTTTGATAATTGATAAATGAATGATATGCTAAGTGATAAATGAATGATATGTTAAGTGATGATAAGTAATGATAGGTGGTTATGATAGTTTGGTCTTTAATTTCGTCCATTCCTTTTGCTCCAAATATAAGCTATCCAATCCAAGTCCGATTTTGCTCCAAAATGCTCCAAAAGGCATCCTTTTGCATACCTTGCCCTTAGAACCTGAAAACACACAAAAGAAGCATAAAGGACTAAAATAACTAGAGAAACATAACGTAAATGCACGAGAACAAGCCTTTTAAGTCGCATGAATATGCTCCTATCAAATACCCCCACACTTATCTTTTGCTAGTCCTCGAGCAAAACAGAAAGAAAAACAAAACAAAACGAAACGAAACAAAACAAGTAAAACACAACCTAAACCTTCCAACAACTGTCTTAGGGATTTCCAATGCACATGACATGTTAAAAATCATCATTCCCACAGATTTTAGTCATCTTCACACTTAAGTACATTCTTAATCATAGTCACCACATACTAGTTCACAATTAAGCATTTAAAACCATGTTTTGAATGTAGTAACATGCCTTAGAGAATTTGCTCAATTCCTTACAAGATATGCACTCAATTTTCACTCAGATTTTCTAACTACACACCCTACACTAAGTATATGTGAGAAGATTGATGTAAATATGAAAACGAACACTCACATATATGTATCACAAGGAACGCAATTTCTGGAGTTAATAAGCATGTTTAGATATGATCTCATGAATGGAATGCTACTACTTAGACGCGAGAACCAGTGACACCATATGCTCATACCAAGTTCAAACTCCACAATTGAAATGCACAACACATCAAGATAGAAGTCAAGGGTTGTAACGGGGCTTGGGTATTGGCTAACAATGAAAGGTGAAGGATAAACAAACATTCTTAAAGCAATAGTGAGCAAAGTATTGAATCAGGCACTTAGAATCCCCTTAAGAACGCAGAAGTCAACTTTGAACACCCAAGGGAAAGTCACACAAAACTTAGGGCCATATTCACTTTTTGGACCCTTTCTTCAATTACTCATTCTTTCATTTTTTTTTTCAAGCTCTTTTTTTTTTTTTTTTTTTCTTTCTTTCTTTCTTTTCTTTTCTGTTTTTCTTTTCTTTACTGTCTCAAAACATACTTAAGAACAAGCATTCCTTCCCCCACACTCATTTTCTTGCATAATGTAACTCAAAAGGAATTCATTTAAGTTATGCTCACTATCTTTTAAGAACAAGGGTGTGGATTGTCCTAAACTAGGCTAGGTGAGGATAATGTGGGTTGACAAAGAATAAAGGCTAAACAAAGCTCAACGGGGGTAAAACTTACAACATATACGAAATATGGGAAGTGAGGCCATTTGGCTATGGTGGCAACTACACAACTTCATCTTGATATATGTTGTATGCAAATCAATAACATGCTTTGAATGAAATGGGCATGAGTTCTAGCATTTGGAACTATATGATGAAACGCTTTCTAAGTAGTAACCAAGCAAAGAATAATGAGATCATGCAACGACTTTGGAAAACAATAATGCACAGATTTTAACTCTCCAAAGAACGTTATAGGCTCAAGTCTTTCAGGGCTGTAGCGTTTGTTTGAGTTCCTTCCTTCAGGCATGTTACAAAAACGAATTTTTCTTTTATGATTGCATGTGAAGTCATACATTATAACCATAACCAAGCATATACCAAGAGTAAATCAAACTTTTCTCTATGTTTATAACTCTTTTTAACAGTCATGCAATTAGAAACCAAATCCTTATCATTGTGTTGGAAGGTGACCTACGACACAAAAACGACTCAAAACACTCTTTTTAGGCTTTTCAAAACATGTTTTTCAAATTTTTATGTGATTTTCAAATTTTTAAGTCAAAACACACTAAACACACTTAAAAACAGCAAGAAACAACATTTGAAGTTATGGTGGATAAAATCCTACGAATTTGCATTAAAACACTTTAGTAACTCCCCCACACTTAAATCAAACATTGTCCTCAATGTTAAAAACCACACTA